TGTCATCGATGTCACCATCACAAAAGCACAACGAGACGATGGATATGAGATTGGTGAACTTCACCTCTATACTGTACCAGATATTTTAGGGTTTTGAAGAGACGATTTGTTGGTGATAGAGTCGGAATCGGTTAATTAAATTAGTCCCGGCTATAACTATTATCTTCAACAGAATTAAGCATTTTTTCTTGGTTGCGGCCATAGTATTAGTCAATATTAAATTGTGAAAATTTTCTTGTTCACGTTTGTCAATGCTACAGTTCTGACACGACAAAAAGATGAATAAACATATATTTCTCGTTTTCTGTCTCTATAATGTCATAAAAAGAAGTAGGACAAAGTTTAATCGAGCTATAGTCATATAGTATACACTTTTTTTTCCTCGTAAGGCATTCGATAACGAAAGGTCGTAGAGAGCAGCTGTTTTGACAGGAAAGATTTTTAGCTTGAAAATTTGTGCAAATAGACAAGGAACTATGCCAAACACAATCGTGAAAACAACTGTTCTCTACGACCTTTCGTTATCGAATGCCTTGCGAGGAAAAAAGTATATGCTGTATGATCAGTTTCTGGAACCACCGTATCAAGAAAGTCTATAAAATAGCAACAGTAATGCAATTGTTCTTACAGGAGACAACTCCATATGCAGTCAAAATAAGAGTGACGAAGGAGAAAAATGTCAGAATTGCCAGAAGTAGTAAAATTTCCAAAAATAATCAGAGAACTTTGTATAAGGGTGATTGTGAGGTCAGATGAGTGAAAGCGATATTATATACATTCTATCAGAATGTCGGGTCGAAATCCAAATAAACATGTTGCTGAAAAAAATCTAAACGCATGCCAGTTTTATGATCAATTTTTCGAATTTTCTAGTCGAGGCTAGATGCGATTTATACTACTTCTAAATTACTAAATATATTATTTCTCGTTAGTATACCAAATACTGACAAGTTATAACAGATTAGAAATTCAAGATCTTATTCTATATTTTATATTTCATGCTCAATAGATTTGCTATTAACATATTCATGATACCTACATTGCTATTCAATTATTGATCAATTATTCTTCATTTAATTTGATTTTAAAATATTTTAATAAAACGATAAATTCCTTAATAACATTGTGCTTATTATAGTTTCTTGTATTACTCGATTAATCTATACTGACATAATTAATTTGGTCCAATTATGATTTGCTGAAAAAAAAATGATTTGCTCGAAAAAGATTTTGTGTTTTTTAAATAAGGCGTGTTTGCGTAACCGCTTAAGTTTTTGTTTTTTGTTATAGGCATAATGACATTAATAATGCAATTGTTTCTATATTTGTCTGCTTATCATGCTGGAAAAAAGTTACATTGGTCAATGTTAAACAGTGTTCTTCATGCTCCAATATCATTTTTTGATACGACTCCTCTTGGCCAAATTCTCAATCGTTTTGCAAAAGATATTGATTCAGTTGATTCAGCATTGCCTACTTCATTCGCGTCATCATTAAACACTATGATTTCTGTTATAGCCACAGTGATCATTTTAATCTATGGCTCATATTTTGCTAGTATCGCGTTGTTACCATTAGCTGTTCTATTCATATTTATACAGGTACACACCAGAGATAGACGAATATCGAATTTTTTGCCTGAGCATTAAAAACAAAAACCGATAGATACAATGTAACTTAGGACGTTTTACAAAGATAACTCGAAGTAGCAAAGAATGAATAATCAATCATTCATAAAGATGAACAGTTCATTTCTGAATTCTTTCGTAGCCGAACACCATAGAATGTAAATAAGTGGCAAGAGTCAAATAGAAACTACCTCAATAAAGTGTTTGATCTTAGATATGTTTAGCTAAGAAATCAACACCTGTAAAATCTTCAATTTACAAAAAAACTTCAATTTTTTAGTGAATTTTCATCTCAGAAGTGAGCCAAATATTCACTAAAAAATTGAAGTCAACCAAATTATTTGATATATAAATCGTTCAATCCAGTTTTTGATGCTGATTCCGAATATAATATTTATTTTGCACAATAACTTAATTATAGTGCAGAAAAGGGTGATTTGGGAGTGCGATTCCTATTTTGCTGCCTCTGATTTGGAAAAAATCGGTATTCTCAGCAAGAGAAGAGGTTCAGGAAAAAAAGCGATGCGTACTTTTGTTCAACTTTAAATGGCGATTCGAGTGACGTATGACGCTCGGAGAAAAGTTTCAAAACCAGGGAGGAGATAGGTTTGCGAAAGTGGTAGCCCATTTTTTGGAATGCTTACTCCTGTCAAAATTGTGGAACACGGGTATTTTGTTTTTTGTGACTTGAAGATACACGATTAGACTCAGTTTTTGATGAGGAATCCAAATATATCAAATTCAAAAAATTACAGTGGACGGACGGGGGCAAAATTTTAAGTTTTTTCTGAGTAATGCAAATTTTTTGTTTTCTCGGTGCTCTCAGTATTTTGAGAATTTCTCCACAAAAACTTGATCAAATTCGAATAAAAAGGTGATATTCGGAATCAGCGCATTCAGGAGTATCTGAATATGTAGCTTTAGACCGAAAGCTAAGATAGTGCTGCATTTTTGAATTGCGGGCACCTTACTTCGTCTGCGTAATGAAGTCGGTACTTAGCTTTTTTCCAGAAGTAAATTTACTTGTAAGTACTTGTCCTTACTTGCCAAGTACTTTTAGAAAGTACTTCTTAGCAATAAGGCAGGTATTTTGATCATTGATAAGTACTTAGCAAGTAATCAAGTACGTTCTCTAGGGTGATATGCATACTCAAAATGGACAAGATAAATAAACAAAAAAAATTATGAATTACTTATTCAGAGTCTGAGATGCATTTTCAGATTTGTTTCATATACTCATAAACTAATTCATTCATTTTTTTCTTTCTTCAGCGGGTCTATGTTGCTTCATCTCGTCAATTACGTCGTCTTGATTCAACTACTCGTTCACCTGTCTATTCAAATTTTGGTGAAACAATTCAAGGTTTATCAAGTATTCGAGCATACAATTCTCAACAACGTTTCATTAGTTTATCTGATGATTTAGTAGACAAAAATCAATCTTGTTATATAACCAGTTGTGTTGCTAATAGATATCTATCGAGAGAAATATGAATATTTTCTTAACTCAATTTTTATTCAAATGTTTTATAGATGGTTAGCTATCCGTTTGGAAATCATAGCCAATGTTCTGACATTAGCAACGAGTTTATTTGCTGTTCTAATGAGAGATAAATTATCAGCAGGAACTGGATCACATCACGCAGACTACCTGCAAGGCACATACTTATAAAGTAGACAGATAGCGTTTTTCGAATGCTATATGAACTAATTATTATGCATATGTAATCTCACAGAAATTTGAATTACATTTAAGAAACTGCCCTAGAAGGCTCACATATTGTTAACGCTACCAGTTTTGACTCAAACTAAAAGTTCATTGAAATGTAAAATTGCTTGTCTGCAATTCTAGATACAACCGGATTTAAAGTCCAAACACTTTCGTTTGCTTCTGGCTGCCTACTATAGTGGAGAGGTAGGTACCTAAGATATCTGAAGCCGTTCTCGATTTTATCAAGAGAATTATGTACACTCAATGAATTCGCTCTGCTTCCAGTAAAAGGGACGTTTTTACGCAAGAGTTAGCTCAAGTCTTCCTAAGGAAACTTCAGTAGTTACTACTACATATATTTTGTACAAAACTTTTCATTGTAATTTCGCATGTCTAGTGAAAAGATCTAGACAATCGAAAATGTAATCACAAAAGTCTAACAATCTCAAAGTCTAATTAGATTTTAGACGTTTACACGTATGTTCTTTTGAAAGACAAAGTATCAAAATTCTAGATTGGAATTATTGGTCGTACGAGTTCCGGCAAATCGAGTCTATGTATTACTTTGCTTCGTATTATTGAACGTACTCAAGGTAAAATTATCATCGATAATATTGATATTACGGACATTGGATTACATGATGTCAGATCAAAAATTACCATTATACCGCAAGTAAGAAGACGCCATATCAAAGACAAGCAGTTAGATCGTTTACTTTTGTAATTTTAGGATGCTGTTATATTTGCTGGCACATTACGTTTTAATATGGGTAAGCTGTAGGTTGGCGGAACAAAAAGAGCTATTATTGTTCCATATATTTCAGATCCGTTTGGAACGTATAGTGACGAAGAAATTTGGAATGTGTTAGAATTAGCTCATCTAAAACGTCGTACATTCACAGTAGAAAATGGTTTGCATTATCAGTTGACAGAAGGCGGCGAAAATTTAAGGTAACATCGAAAGAAGAAAAATGAAATTATTTTTTAATTTTTAATGTTTTTTAGTGCCGGTGAAAAACAATTAC